TGAGCGGGGAGCGGTGAGCGGGCGAACGGCGCGCAGCGAGAGAACGCGCGACATATGACACCGTGCCGAAAAAGTTTTTGTCAACAAACACACCATTTTGCATGTCTGCCGAGTCCGGCCTTCCGCTCCTCCGTGCACTTATTGGCTCAGACGTTTTTCTTAATTAGGCGATAATAATTACGGATTTTGTAAAATTTTATATAACTTTTCTTCTCAGTTTAACCCAATCTACTATAATCTTTGGGGTCCGCCATATCGAATCTGACACCCTGTATAGTATCTTTTCCAAATGTTACCGGCAATAAATGTCACGAGTGGGCAGAAAATATGGCGATTGGTGAAATACGGGTGTACCGGCGGAGCGTTCATGTGGAATAGCAAAGAATAATGACTGAGAATCGAGGTGAGGCGTTGTCTGAAAGATAGGGATGGAATACCGATGAGTCTCAAACCCCTTCCGCCCCTCGTTGTCAAAATAGTTCAGCTATTTCTTGCTTATTTCCAAAGTTCAATAAGTGGCAAAAAAGTTCAAAGTGATCTCTTTAAAAGTTCGTGGATTGAAGCACTAGGCGTCATTTTCTTTACAGTGGTAAACTTATTGGACGTTTGTCAAATTTTTTCAAAGAGACATAAGTACATGTACAAGTGTAGAAACCAAATAATTCGAGTGGTCATTTGCACTGTTAGAAATTTTTCAACATACTTTTGCGATCGCACATTTATAAACACCTGCTACACCTAATATAAATGTGTCGTACATAAAAAAATTTATAACGTTTCTCTCTCTTTGTAATCGTAAAATGATCTAACGCTGGCTGTCCTACTTTTAGGCTTAAAGTGCCGAGATGAATGGCGAGTATGTAACGATGTGCCGCGCGATTTGGACTTTTGTTTCACAGGAACAAACTAAATTGCTGTAGCGAGCGGCGGACTTGATTTACCGACGTACAAGCGACGATCTCGTAACTCGTGTTTCGATGTTGCACGTGCAGCTGCGAAACATACACTTCTCCAGAAAAGCTATTCATCTCGCGCGAACGCTACGTTTGCTAGCAGAAACGGGGAAGGAGAGCAATAGTTTAAAAGTTGCGCGTACGTGCAAACGAAGGAATTGTTTTATTAGTCAGTCGCGATGAAACTTGCGTAGTGTCCGCGAAACCAAGTTCCCGAGGATCGAAGCGCGGACCTTTAAAAATAGTCCAAACGAAACACGGACAAAATATGTGATACGATCCAGATGCTCCGAAGTGTTTCGAAGAGAATTAACGCGAATTCTTTCACCTCTTCTCGATTTCGTTCAATCTTCGAGCCCATCGTCGCTGCTCTCTGACCAATGCTGTGATTTATCGCAGATAGGAGTTTATTGACCTCCTTCTGTCTTCCCGCCCTTCTTTTCAACCCGTAATTTATTATCCCGCTGACGAAACGATCGCGAAGCAAGTATTTGTGCGAAAACCAATGGGGGGATATTTCATTATCAATTTTTGCTTCCGTTTACGAAAAGGATAGCAAATTTTTAAGATCGATTACAGCGAGCAATCAATTGTTTAGGCAATATAATATTTTCCTTTCTTTTCTAGATAAAAAATATAAATTTGATGTCACGGGAGAAAGAAAGGGGACAAAACAAACGATTGCCATTTTGACATACGATCTTCGTATGGATTCGGACGAATTTGATATTCGGCGGACGAAGATAATAAAAGAATAATAAATTCGTAATGTATTTTCAGTAAGCGAAGAAAAACAGGTATTCGGAAGTGGGGCAGAATATGAATAATCGGCTCTCGCGGTGTTTGCCTTCGGATAGAAATCTAATGTAATAATTAAATCATTATTATCGTCGCCATTAATTATAGAGAACGAGTTGGCGAAACGGGCAAGTAGAAAAAAAGAAGTCGGTCGTACTTACGTTGATAATTTCGTCTCGTTGTCGATCGTGTCGATGGCGGCGCGACTCAAAGCCGGAAGACTGCTCGCTTCACAAGGCGGACTGCTTAGATCTGAAACACGACGAAAAAAGCTTCGTCAAACAGGCAGGTCGACGAGCGTTGCGTCTCGTTTATATGAATTTTTACCAGGGAAACATAAAGCTTAATCCTGCTGGAGGGAACGGAAGGGTGTATAATCCTGGAGGGGCGGGAGGGGAGGATTCAGACAAATTAAGTTAGCCAACTCGAGCCGACTCCTGTATCCTTATAAAATCTGAAGGAAAGTTTGTGTCTCGTCGCGTATACTCCGCGGCAATTAATCACTTTTTAGAAATTAGCCGGACAATTAATTTTAAACTTGACACAAAATTGCGGAAGTAAATTTGGACTTGTGTCGTAAAATGAAAAATGTGAGCAAAGTTAAAAGGACACGTAAAATATATGTGATTCTTTACGGGAAACGGTATATAAACTCGCACGTTATAGAAAACCATTGGCGCTACCTACATCCCGCTCGGACCATATTGGCCGCCTTATTTCCTATCGATTTATATAAGTTTTGTTACATAGTTAAGTTACATAAAGGAAAGTAGAAAAGAAATGTCGATTAAATAATTTCTTTTAAAACTAATCACTCTTTCATTCGATGTAACAATTATGTAATTGTTACGCAATAATAATAAACGATGTAATTACCTATATTTGAGTGATAATAATCGCTGTGCCGTCCGTAAGGTGGTGCCGTCGGATGTGACAGGGTGTTCACCCTCCGTCTGAGATTCGTCGCCTGCAAAACGAAAGGAAACGTCTCGTATAAATCCTGTTTAAGAAATCGCTTGACTCTATAGGTACGGAAAAGGTCGCAAATCGCGTTTATGAACTCACGTAAGTATCTGCCGCTAGTGATAAATGATTCTACTGGTAACGAGAAGACGGACGCGAAAAAGGATAAGTAACAAAGAGTCGTTGATCTTCTCGATTTCGATAAAAAATTTATACGACGTCCGAGATGTATTTCCTTTTTCATGCTGGAATTAAGATTTGCGCCCCGTAAGGAGGATCTAGTACGGTCGTTAAGTTAACAGCTTGCACCTTACTTAGACTCTCGCCCGAAAAAAATGTGTTTTGTGTTGAAGTTTCAGCAGAAATACGAGTCGTATTATCAAGTGCGATCAATCATAAAAGATAAATAACTGAACAAGACCCTAGGTAGAATAGTTGTATATTTATTTGCTCGCGATCTTCTTCCTTCCGTAAACATTTTGACGAGTACCAAAGTATTGTAATATCGCAAAATTACTTTTTAATGCGTGTAAATCATACGCACAGCAGCATTTTAGAAAAATTTTCCAGACGATAACATGTAACTGCAACGTTTAAGAATTGTATTTACGATGACTTTTCTCTTTGAAAGATTTTTGTTTCATTGACAGAAGAGAAATAAAATATTACGTAAATGTAAAGTTGTGTATAAATCACGAATGAAGTACTTTTTCTGAACATTGTTCTAAATGCGATCAACAACATATCGTTGCAAGACAAAATTATAATTAAATACGTTCTAAAATATATCGACGATACTTCTAGTCTCACCGGTACAATAACTGAATAGCAATTTAATTTAAATTGTTGAACCGATTTGTTAGATATTCCGTATTAAATTATATTACTCACATGCATTCTCATTATTGCTAACTTAACATGCATAGATATATTATTTCGTATAATATTATTTTAATTATGAATGCAGGTATCGTGCTGTATGCTTTGTAAAACAAATATGAATTTTAAAACGCGGTTTATTTCATGCCGTGCGGGCCGTCGCGAGTCGTTCTCGTTGTAATTTACGCGCAGTGACATGGCCCTGCGCGTCGCGTTTAATGAGAAGGCCACTCGACGTACACGCATCTGTATGCGTATTTATATTATTTACAACGAAATCTATCTTGCGTTACATATCTTGCCGATTGTGAGGGCGGTAAGGATAAAAGTGGCGTCTAGGATTTGTGAAAAATTCATAAACTTTGACGCCACTCAACAGTCGTAGTCGCCATTAATTCCCAACGCGGAAGTGGGACGAGTTTTTCGCCAAGTTTTTCGAGGGGGAAGAAGCGTCTATACGTGGTGCAAGAAAAAATGGAGAAAAAGAGGGAAAGGAGAAGACGAGAGGAAGAGCGGAAGTCTCATTACGCTTGCAAATTTTTCATTAACTATATACACGTAAATAGTACCGGGGCGCAAAAAAAAACCACCCACTATCTTGTTAAATACACGATGCTTATTGCTTTTCGCCGCGCAAGAAATTAAAAATTCATCTCGCCATCAGCGACGTTTAGCAGCAATTTTACAACGCAAATATCTATTAACGCATCACTAACGGTTGTCTGCAAATTATTTATTGTCTGCTAATGTACTACTAACGGATGATTATTCGCGAGCACGAACAGATTCATCATATTACTCGCGCCAAATTGTCGCGAAATAATCGCGCGGCGATTCGGCGACTCTCTATGGAGAACAATGCACCAATCGAAGCAATTACGAGGCCACTTTTAGGTCAATTAAATTGGGGATTCGTGAATGGCGCTGTTGCGTGCGTTAATAGAATTCTTGAGATGTTACCGCTCGTTGGCCCGCGAAGTCAGTAAGTCTATCTCACGGACGTGTAATTGCTACATTTTCAGAGATCGCCCAGCAGCCCGGATAATCCGTAAGTCAAGTTGTCAATAAGACAACGGAAGTCGGCGCTGCACTATGTGCACAGAGCGCGATTGTATCATGCTAAATGTAGACACTGGTACGGATGCAAATGGGTTAAATGCTTAGCCGGTTTCGCGTGTAAGATTCAGATCTGATTGTACCTAGAGCCGCGATTCAGGTGTTTGGATTCCTACAGAACAATAGTCCCGGCTGGGATCCGGCGATATCGTTGGATACGGTTTCCTCGAGAAATCCTGGTTTACTAAAACGTTACGATACGGTTCTCAGCCTGGAATAGTTGAATTTGGTATTCAAAAAGCAACCGCAACCGTATATTGCGGACTTTCTGCAGTTACGGATCAATGTCTAATCCGTAAATCCGAAACCTACGTTTTAATAGCCACTGCCTTCATTAGACTTTTAATTAGATTCCCTTTAACTAGATCCACGAATAAAATAAGGGACTGTTCACCTGCCAAGGTTAATTAGACGAAATATGTATTTCAACTTTGATTTTATGACACGCTATTAATTTCCATGCAGAGCTATGATTCGATGGTCAGAATTAATCGATAGTTCGCAAACAAGCAAGAAAGCCTCACCATTTAAATTACCATCGGTGTTTTAACCGCCACATAAATCGATAGACTCGACTCGCTCGTGCACGGCACGGAATCACGTTGGAAGCTCTCGGCCGAAGAAGTTTTCGTTACTTTTCAAGTTAGCGCCCCGTTTTTAGAATTTCGACACAACTGATAGTTTTGACTGTTGAAGGAAATTTTGTCAATTACATCGAAATTCTGGCAACGGAGCGCTAACTTCACAAGATGCGTTCCTCCATTCTCTATGGACTAAAAGTTCATGAATAAAAAAACTTGAGAACGAGAGGGCGAGCGAGCGAGCGAGAGAGAGAGAGAGGAGGGGGGGGGAGGAAGGAAGGAAAGAGAAAAAGATGGTAGAGTCAGGATTCGCTGAAAGTGGAAAATTTGATTCGGTGATTAGGTGAAAATATGGTCGAGTTTTTCGTCGATTCCCGACGGTACGAGGAGCCGCCGTCCGGTAAAAAGTTGTAAATTGAGCGAGACTTCTCCCAGGGCACGGGGGGCGAGGGAGGAGGGGAAAAAACTCGCGGCGAGTAACAGGATACTGATAAAGACTAGTGGATGAGGCAAATAAAATCTCATTAATCTTTCCGAGCCAGTTTAACGAGACCTAAGCCCCGGATAGCACGCGGGGTTCCTAGAAGACGATAAGGATCGGGATCTAATTGTTAATTACGATTCTCTCTTGATCGCAATGGTGTGAGAGATGTATCGAGATGTCGAGATCATCTCGCACGTCATCTTTATCATCGGACAATATCAAATAATTGCGATTTTTTTCTGATTGAGCAAGATAGCAAACAGCACGAATAAATATCAAGATAGAAGAATTGCAATACCTTAGATAGAATTTGCGAAACTCTCGCGAGAGCTATACACGACATTCGTGACGTTTGTGAATTTCGCTCGAGTCACAATTTGCTTAAAACTTGTGAAAAATAATTCTCGAGAGGAAGAACTCTTAAAAATTCGCCAGGAGAATAACACACATTCGTTCTGTACCTCCCGTCAATGTTAATGATCACTGCCGCCGGTCGTACCATATTTCCCCAAAGTATCCCTTTCAGAAGATGACACGAAAAAAAATTACGGATTCAGTGTGTAACTTTTAATCGTGTACAATTTTGTCATTTCTTAGGGGGCTAATAAATACTCCACGCTTCCCGATAGTTTTCGAAGGACAGCGAGAGATCCTTACAGGATACTTCTCCATCAGACTGCGCGTCCTGGTGACTTGGGCCATCCTGCCGTCCAAGTCCTCCTCCTTGGAGGCGCCCGCCCTCTTACAATCGGCGTCAACCTCATCCTCCGCCAGCGAGCTGAGACTGTTGTACCACTGCACGCTGCTGGTCCTGTAGGGCTGCCTCGAGGGCTCGTGGCTGCGATGGAGGTCCTTGCTGAAGCTCAGGCTACGCCTGATCGGCTGCAGGCTACGGTTTATCGCCGCCGGTAACTCGGCGCTTCCTCTCAACAGAGCGCCGAATTTCCGACGGAACGAAGGACGTCGCTCGAGCTTCTCGTTCGAATTGTCCGCATTCTTCGACGAGATTTCCTTCAACGACGATCTCTTGACGTCGGAGGACTCTTGAGAAATATCCGGCGATATTAATGATCGGAATTACCTTCTTATATTTTACAAATTACTTCAAAATGCATATTTTTCTACTCAAGCTCTAATGCGCATTTAAAGATTGTAAAATAATATTTTATTTCTATTAAATGCCATCGAAATTATTTTAAGCCACTTTAAAACATGCCTTTAATTCCTCGGTTTGAAGAAACGTGAGTCTAATTATTTTTATTAAAATAAAATTATCTATTGATTTTTACTTAAATCCCTTACAATTTTGTCATTTAATTTTACTCAATTTAAATGTAGAGTGAAACATTGCGCGAACACGTTTATTTCAATGTTAATTTTTATACCATTAAATTCACTCACTATCCTCGACGTAAGAATTTCTAATTCTTTCCTTTCAGAGAAATTTGAGAAAGAAACTTATTTTGATAAAGTTATTTTCAATTATCTCCATCGAGATGCAATTTGGCAACTTTTTAGTGGCGTCACGTTGACTTCGATCTCTAAACAATACAGACGCGGCTAAGCGATTATTTTCCCGACAGTTTCGATGCCTGACGGAAGGTAACGGTAAAACTTTTCAAGAATTTTACAAAGGGTGATTAATATCCAACGCTCTATGCACCTGCTTCCGGTTTCGCTTGCTTGCATTCCTTCGTGGGCCCCGGCTGCGCCACATTCGCACCCTCGCCATAGTAACTCGTCGCTTTGTGGGTCGATTTGCCCTTCTTCGAGGACCTTTTTGATTCCTTCTTCAGTGTCATCTTTCCTGATAACGTCGGGTATATAGCACTCGATGACATCACACGCGTCCCGCGATGTGAATGACGATCCGTTTATTCTCACTCGATGACCGAGTCGCATAACTTGCCGTTCTCTCAGAATCGCGCACAACACGTCTTCGTTGTAATTTCCACACACGCGCACACCCACACGCGCACAACGAACTGTGTCGTTAAACGGTATCACTCCGATAACATGTTATCGCTGCAGTGCCAACGGTATCAACTGTATCGTTAATATCGCGTCCACTCACGCCTTTTTGCTTTCCGTGTATTTAACGAAGCCTGGAAGTTGAGATAAAATCGATCGTCAGAAGTTGAGAACTTTCTTAACCGCCACTAAGCCGCTGATCCGATTTACGACCTCATATCTGCCACTGTTTTTTTTTTTAAATGCTCTCCTACCGTATTTTTATACGCCCTGCAATATCGCGGAATTGGACGCGTGCTTCTTTTATGAAATGGAAAATACTTTCATTTCCGTAGTGTCATTTTTCAGATTTCACGAAAGTTCTTAAGCTCTCAAGGTTTATAAAAAAAAAAAGTCATCCTGTCTTAATGTTGTGTAGAATTGTTGCGAAAATTACAGCCATTGTACACAACGAGAACACTTTTCTGTTTATCAAGAGAAGATCGCACGGCTTATCCTTCACTATTGCCCTCGTTGTCAGCATTGTGTTCATAATTTATCTCTTGGTTCCAATCGAGTGACCAATTACCGAAACAAGACTTACTACTCTAATAGAAAGCGTAGCTTATCGCGATGAAGGAAAAGGTCAATTCTGCTTCATTATGGAATAAAAGTAATTCCAACGTTGTTGCAAACGACGTACGATTTTCTTAAGGAACAATTAAATTAATTTTAATTTCGGGGGGGGGGATGCTCAAATTTTTATGTACGAAGAATCAATTTAGTTGCTCGCTGATTTCAAGAGCTGCTCTCTTCTCTCATTTCAAAAAGTCTATAACTTTATCACAGAATTATTCATTTGTTCCTTTTTCATTTATGTTGGTCTCATTTTCTTAAAAACAGCGACAACGAGTTTCGTCTCGTAGTATACCGACTATTTTTTGTGTGACATTAGCTACAATAAAACGACACTGAATTGTAACGCGCGCACATTATATTATAATAATTGCCAACTCTCTCATTTTGCTGCCTTGAATATCGAGACAGTATTTCCGCACGAAGTGGGCCGCATCGTTTAATTTCGACAACGCGCGTTCTGCTTATTTCTTGTTTAAAGGGATGCTGGAGTCTGTCTGTTTTACCGACAACGCGAAAGTTATGTATGTGTG